CCAGAGTCCCAAGAATATTTGGCATCTCAACACAGGAAGAATATTTTCTATATCGAAGGATGCCTGGACTTTAGTGCGCGCCAACTATTTTCCAGCGTTACATAGACCATGTTTTGAAAGATTGCCCTAGATGTAATTATTTCCAGCAAAGACGCTTAATTTAAAAATAGTATTTGCTGGGAAGCTGGCCTCAAAGCCAAATTTGAAAAAGTTAAATTTTATGGAATTTTGTTTCGTTTTTAGGTATTGCGATCGATCAAAATGGGGTATATCCAAGTGAGGAAAAAGTAAAACCAATACGGGCCTTACCTAACCCCATCATCAATTACGTTTAATTTGTACAACGTAGTAAAAATAGTAGTTATTCTTCACGTAGTTAAAATAATATACTAATATTTTAACTTTAAATTAAAATAATTATTTTTTAACGAAGTCAGACTAATATTTTTTTTAACACATTATAAAGATTATATTAAGTTTATTTAAGAATTTTGTAGGTGCTTCCCTTGCTTCTATCGAAGCTCCTTCACTGTTTTATATTTATCTACAAATATTTTTATATTATTTTTTGCTAGCATTTTCATCTGTGTCGTTTCCGAATGTTCATGGTAAAGAAATTTTAATGCCTTTACTTGTAATACCCTTTGAATAAGCAATCGTAAACCTCATAAAATACACCCTTCTTCTTTGATAATTCCCATCTCTTTTTAATTAAAATGTATGTAAATATTAGTCTATATTTTTAGGCTAACCGTTTGTTAGAGGTCTGCTGGCTACTTTTTACAAGGTTGAATCTATTTCCTTTTTTGATGCCGATAATTTTTTTTTCATTATTTGTTCATCAGATAATGGTAATGTCCATACCATGTCCCATTATTCAAAGATAAAGAGTTTATCAAAATTAGTTAAAATTAATGATCATCGAAATTAATCTCAGGAGATATATCCCTCGTGTTAATTTGTCGCACTTTATGAATAATATTATGCTTTGTATTCAGATATAATTGACAATTTAATTTTCCTATTAAAAAATATTTAAATCTTTTAAGATGGAAAATTATAAAGAACCTTTCTTTTTCCATTTGATTATAATTTTTTTCAAAAGCGATAAAGTTCTTAGAGCGAAAGTGATCAGTATTCATTATTCAATGAAATAGAGTGAGATAATAAAGGGCCTATTCCATAATTTGAGACGTCCGTTGATGCAAGCGAGGTACTTTAGTGTTGTTAAACGGTCCGATTAATATTTTAGTCAAAATAATATTATGTAAGCTTGAAGAATATCTCCATAGATGGCAGAGAGGCTTGGACCTCTATTTATCAAATCTAGAGGCCTGCATAATATTATTTTGGGCAAAAATTTTAAGAATTCATAGAGTGGTAGTGCTTAAATTACCTAACTTTAACCATGTCAAGCTATTAGCCTAAAAATTTGAATTAAGCCTCGCAGTTGAGTCTCAACTTGAAGATTGTGATTAGAATATTTATGGGATAAAAACACTATGCTGTCTTATAGTTGACTAAACTTAGGTAGTTTAACAATATAGTGGAGGTGGCCATTGTGGAAGTGCCATTTCTCCTTATTTAGACAAATAGGATTTGAATTCCCAATTTTTTTATAATTAATTTATAAAATCTGAAAAAAAAGATAAAAGTAACCCAAAACGGCCCTTTTTATAGCCGATTCCCATATAAATAAAAATATCGCGAATGAAATAATTGACATAAATATAAATAATAAAAATAATATAATATTTTATATTATAATTATAAAGATTGGAACAGTGTGCATCCAATGTTTTTAAGGGAGAGGGAGGGGGGGGGGGGTAGGGAGGCTAGGGGGGATAAATTTATTTGATGCTTATTTTATTGAATTTTTAGATTAAATAGGGGAAAATGTATTACAATAAAAATTTTAAAAAAACTTTTTATAATAAAATGATATTACTGGACTAAATGTATATATTATTGCACACAATCTTAGATATTATTTTCCAGATAAAATTACTTCTAAATAATTATTATAATTATAAAATAAAAATGGGTTAGAAACTTCATCAGCAAACTCTTATTCAGGCCAAAAAAATTTTTTACTATAATAAGGCAATCATTGTAAATGAGGAATGTTTTAATTGAATTTGTTCTAAAAATAATTCTTTTACATACACAATAGTTTGATTGTTGGCATGAGAGCATTAATATTTATTTATTCATTTTAAAATTTGTGAAGTGAGTATCATTAAAATAAAAGGTAATTAATAATATGCGAATTTTGCGGAAATTTGTTGGGTGGTAAAGATGGATTTTTAGGGGGGGGGGGGGTTTGCATCCAGTAAGAATCTTGTCATGTAAACACTGCTATAACGTCGGTCTAGGGTAGGAGTGATCCAAATTGCACAAATGTTTAAAATGAGAAAATCAATATTAAAGTTTAAAAATAAAATATAGGAAAAAGATATTGATCAATTTTTGACAATAACTATGACAAAAAATTATATTTTTTTAATCTAGTTTTTATTTTTATATATATTGGGAATAAATAAGTTATTATCCACTTCTAACTCAAAAATTTTGAATGTTTAAAATGAGAAAATAAACATTAAAATTTAAAATAAAATATAGGAAAATAATATTGATCAAATTTTGACGATAACTTTGGCCAAAAATTAATATTTTTTAATCTAGTTTTTATTTATATATATATTGAGTATAAATAAGTTATTATCCACTTCCGACTCAAAAATTTTGAATAAGTCGAGTGGAACTCCAATGACTGACGATATGATATGCATTATTTCATAACGTTATTTTTAACAATTATTATAATATATTTAAACAAGTAGTTTTTTAAATTTTATCCCAAAAATATGATATTATTATAGTATATTACATCAAACTAAATATAAGAAGAAGAAAACATTCGTGAGTTATAATGGATAAAAAGAGTTAGTAGACTGCAGCGATCAAGTTTATGAAAGAAATGTAATTCAGGAGAGCCATAGGCACACTTTTTCATTAAGTAATAGTCTTAGCGAGGCTACTCAAATTCCTTTTAATTTGATGACCGATCCCTTAAAGAAGCATTTCATCAAATAGCCATATGCGGTTTAGGAATCAACAAGGCCCCATCCAACTGGCTCATTAATATTTTTTTTTTTAAAAATCCTGCTAGAGCACTGCTCATAAAAAGATTGATTACAATGCTCGGCCTGTAATTATTTTTGGTACCAAAAAATTTGTAAATTAGATTAAAATAAGGTTTAACGCATGTTTGTATTCATTTTTAAATAGGCCTAATCCACAAGAAATCTACGTTTTAAATACTTACATTAGAGGATATTAGATAAGAACCGAAAATTAAATGGGGGGAGGGGTTTATGCTAGGATTGAATTAGTTATTAAGAAATTTTTTTATGAATTGCGAGTAGAATATTTTGTTGAATATTTAAAACATCAATAAAATCATTTCTTTTTAAAGAACCTAGTATACCATTCAAAATAAAAATGGTGCAAGGTGTGAAACTATCTCAGATTAGTGTTGTTAAAACTCAATATTGTATTCAGCAAAATATTATGCAACCCTTATAATTTTGCTCATACAAAGGTGTCTAAGACATATATTATCGAAATCTCCAGGATTAGTCAATGTTTTTCTGGTTAAAATATTGAAAAACATTGAGTTAGCCGTTTTAAAAATGGGCTCCAAACGAGCCGTTTAATAACTCTATCTCAAATCCTATACTTATTTTCACAAAGATGAAGTAGTATGTTAATTAAATTCGATCCTGCTATCTTTCTGTTTAAAACATGATCATTGCCTTTGAGATAAACACAGCCAGATGTCAATAATTTATAACATGTTTTTCACCCCGCCTCCTTAAATTTGTAGCCCACGACGCCAAAAAAAGGTTGTGTTTCTGGTTCGAATTTATTTGACCCCGTCTTGCAAGGCTTTGGTGGGCTATCCAGATCTCTACAGTACTCATTACAACTGGCCTAATATCATTATTCATATGGCTTCAAAAAATAAGAGACATTAATTTTGGGATATGAAATATCCCAGAAAATATTTTATATGGCTACATAAATTGTCATTTTATTAAAGTCATTTAAAACCGTTTCCTTTATTCCTTATTAAAATATAATTAATGATTATTACCCCAAAAAACTAGAAAATATAGAAAACCTTTTTCTATCAAAAGAATATAAAAAACACTTGGCCAAGAAAATGTTAAAAAAAAAAATTATATGGTTGATAAACTTCAAATTTCTGAGCCAAGATTGTAATTAGTAATTGAACATCTTTAATTATCAATTAAATTGCGATATAATTTACTTAAAAAATTTTTTTTAATTAAAAATATATTTATATATCAATATTTACATCATTAAACTGCAAATTTAATTTGATGGTGATTCAAAATATATAAATTTATATATTATTTTTAAAAAAATTTTTTACAAAAATTATATTCTGGATTTTTTTTTTGGGGGGGGGGGGGGGGCTAAACGAGTGATCCTTTTTCTAAAAGTATTTGTATTCATTTCGTATTAGGCAACAAATTTTTTTGCAATAACTGCCCTTATATTAGCAACCGATTATGGTCACAATTTTTATACTTTCCTTGACCAATAAAACCTAACCTCGAAAAGGAGAACAAAATATTATGCTAAATTACATATACTTTTTACATTTTATAATTTAGTAATATAATATTTAATAAATCATATTTATAGCCTCAAATTCTCCAAATAGACTTATTCTCAATAGTTTTATCACCTAATCAACCACATTATAATTTCCATCTAATTTATAATGTATTAATATATAAATAAATGCATCTAATCGTTATGTAAATTTAAAAAGAAAATTTCATTTGTATAACAATCAATAAAATATTTAATTGATCAATTCGGAATTAAAGCTACAATAATTTAAGGATTTAATTATATGTATATCTTCGGGTTTACTAACCATATCACGAATTTTATCTAACGCTATATCAACTCCAATGGCAACCGCAAATATTTCTACACCTATTTTTGGATTTATGTTCGAAAAAAAATATATATAGTATACACTTTACATACTAAATGTTAACTTATAGTTTTTCTAAAGTTTCAAATAAAAAAATATATATTATCATTTCATAAATAATTGCTATGGACCAGAGTTGTTAAAAGATACTTTTTAAATGGATCTAGATACAGATACATCGTCTAAAATAATATCTAGATACAGATATTTTAATCAAAAATCTATCTAGATACAGAAATTTTAATCAAAAATCTATCTAGATACAGATACAGATAGAACATTTTTATATCTAGAGGATCTAGATACTTGTATCAAGATCCTTTACCAACTCTGCTATGGACTAAATGATAATGCTAATCTCTTTTGATAAGTTTATAAAATTAATTTGAAAAAGATTTGCTATTTCAGATTATTAATGGGTATACATATTAGATATTTTTTCATTATATTTAGATTTCTACTATGATTGTAATTTTCTACCCATTCGATAAAAAATAATCACAAAGGAGACATAATATATTTTTTTTAAATATCTTGCCTATTAAGAAAGAAATACGAAAAGAAAGAAATACGAAAAGAAAGAAAGAAAGAAAGAAAGAAAGAAAGAAAGAAAGAAAGAAAGAAAGAAAGAAAGAAAGAAAGAAAGAAAGAAAGAAAGAAAGAAAGAAAGAAAGAAAGAAAGAAAGAAAGAAAGAAATATTTTTGTTAATATATATTTTCCATTTAAATATTTTTAAATTTATATGAAAAAAATAGGCAAAAAATTTTTGAGCAATGATTTTTTTATCTTGAAAGATTTTTTTTTATGTAATGAAAAATTACAAAAGATTTCGGCATTTCTAAGTTAAATTTAGGTCAAAAATTTCTTTAAAAATAAAAAATTTTATTTGCTTAAGAATTTTTTTAAAGATTTTCAAACTCCTTATAAATTTCCAAAAAATTTATACTTTCCAAGTCTATTTTAACACCCTGGGAACATTGTTAGCCTATTCCAAAACGGAAAATTTATTTGAATTTTTTTATTTGTATTATACTATTAAAAACCTATAAAATATACATATGACAATAATATAAAAGATATAATAAATTATCTACTAAAATAATATATAAATATCTCTTAGGAAATAAATTAAAAATAATATTTTTAAAAAAAAAACTCATTAAAAATACAAAAAATATTTAAATTAATAAGAAGGACAATTAGCCATTTATAATATACAATTTGGATCGGCAAATTTCGATAGATACTCTTTGCCTAAAGTAAAAACTTTCGTTTGGAACATATATGATTACACGTAACTTTTGTTCTATTTTGAATAATTTTAGGTTCCTGATTTTAAATTAAAGCCGGCCTTAATAATAAACAAAATCATGCGGTCTGGAATAAAAGAAAAATTAATTTAAAAAAATTTGTGTAAATAAATATCGACTTATATACAACTTCTAAAATTCAAACCCTTCCTAACAAACATTTTTTTATAAAGCAACTAAAAGGTGAGAACACTTTAAACGATAAAATAATTTTTAATTTTTTTTTACAAAATAATGGCTTAAATTATTTATTTAAATATATAAAATATACCCATGTTTCTTAGTAAACGCGCTTGTCTACTCGCGATATAAGGTTTCGACTTACCATCCGTCATCACAATCATGACTTTGTCTGCCCCACTTCTTCCTTTTAAAATAAAGTGTTGTCTAGCCAAAGCCAGGCCTCTATCGATTCTCGTTCCACCACCTAAAAAACAAATGTTAATCTTTTTTATTTATATATATATAAATAAAACCTTGATATAAGATTTTTCTTAGTCCTTCTTTGACTTCTTCCAAAGACATATATTTATCGAAACCAAATTCAAACCTTGTTAACGAAGAACTTGAAAATTTGAGTACAGCTAATCTTGTGCTTTCTGAAGCTATTTTATTTTGGCTATCAATTATTTCGGCCGCGTTCTATAAAAAAAAATAATAATTTTAAGTTTACAAAATATTATATTATTTGTAACTTGCATAGCTTCGATTCCGCATTCAAAGATACTTGGACCGATACTACTACTTGCGTCCATCAAAAAAATTGTATCTATGCGTTTTTTTGGCTTATCTTTATTTACAAATTTATATTTTTCATCTTCATCTTTCGTGCTTAATCTTGATTTCGTTGGTACATCAGAGATCATATTTAAAAAAAAATTTACAAGTTTTTTATCGTCGCTGAGAGAGGTATTACCATTAGCATCATGATGTATCGGATATGCATCTAGTTAGAAAACGATCATATTTATTAGATTTGGATAAAATATCATTTCTTTTTACCTATATGAGATTTATTATTCGGAATTTGAAGGCTCGTTTTGAAATTATGGTTTGTAAAATTGCTATCATTTTTCTCACTATCTATAACACTTTCCCGATTGAATGAAAAAATATTCCCAGTAATTGTTTTAATCAAAAGAATATTAATAACTATAAACATTAGTATTAAATTTGGTCTAGAAATCATTTTTAAATTTTAATTTTTATTATCAAATTTAAAATAAAATTATAGTTTTTAATTTTAAATACAAAATTATTCATTTTTATATTATTTCTCTAGGGTCAAGGTTTTATAATTATATAATATCTATAATTATGATTGACCTTATGCATACGACTATAAATAATATTATCAATTCCCTATCTAACTTATAAAAAAAAATTCATTCATTTTTCCATAATATAATAACAATTATCTATTAATTGTTCAAATTTTTTTTAAAACATTGTTTAAAATTCATATTTAAAATTTCTGTATTAACAATAAAAATGATATATTTTTTCACAAAATTTTTAATAAATTGTAAAAATTTACCGATTGGTATTATAAAAATAGTGCTTTTTTCAGCTTTGATCGCGTTTGTTTAAATTTTAAGATATGATGATTTCGACGGAAATTTATTTCATCATGGAACCCACCTATGAATTTCGGACAATTTTGTAAACTTTGATATTAGTTTTTCCATCGATTTTTTATATAAATTTTAAATGAATCTAAGGTTAACATCAATTGTCTACATTCTCTTAAAGAAAGAAAGAAAGAAAGAAAGAAAGAAAGAAAGAAAGAAAGAAAGAAAGAAAGAAAGAAAGAAAGAAAGAAAGAAAGAAAGAAAGAAAGAAAGAAAGAAAGAAAGAAAGAAAGAAAGAAAGAAAGAAAGAAAGAAAGAAAGAAAGAAAGAAAGAAAGAAAGAAAGAAAGAAAGAAAGAAAGAAAGAAAGAAAGAAAGAAAGAAAGAAAGAAGCTATTCTGAATATGGTGGAATAGATTTTCCACGAAAGTCGGATATTTAGATTTAAAAAATGGCTCAAAAAATGATTCAAAGTTTTAAAAAAAAATAGTATATTGCCAAAAACACATTGCCGCTAACATAATATTTATATTTTCCTATTGCTAACTAAAATTTAATTTAAATCCTCCCCCCCCCCCCCAAAAAAAAAAAAGGCTAAATGTTTTATCTTAAGGGGAATCGCCGAGGAGAGATCAAAAAATTGGAAAGTTAAGACAATAAAATTTCGATATGACTTGGATTGCTAGTAGGGCTGGAAACCAATATTAAAAACCCCAAGACAAACGAAATATTTTATTAGTATTAGGTCTAAAATATTGGTTTGAATGAACAATATTTTCTATTTCTTGTATTGGTGTTATTTTTCATTCAAATGATAGATTAAGAATAGAAATAGTGATTTAATAAACTTGCAATTTGTAGTTTTAAATAAACATGTAAAAAAAAACACATGAAACTTTTAAAAACAAGACTGAGAACCAACTCTCCAAATCTTTCTGAATTCAAATTCTTTTTTTAAACTAGGAATTTATGAAGTGATGTATAAAAACTTAATTTAACATAAAAATATAGCAAAATGGATAAACTAAAATATAATAACTATCTATAAAATACAGTGAAAAAGAATTATATGTCTGTAATATGGATCTTGAATGCGTATCCAACTTTATTATAAGCACGGGCAAGCTTGGATGGTATGTTCATCTAGTGAACAACTTTTGTCCATTATAACATTGTCTAAGAACGCCCTCTCAGAACTAGCTGAAATTGCAGGATAATCTGGCATCAATATCTTTTTTGATTTAATTTCCACTTATATCATAAATTTTAGCTTCTCCCATAACTGCTTATTTTTGCCCTATTCCTATCATGACTATTTAACTTGATATATTTTCATAAAAAGATAGCATATTAGATTTATTTTATGTTTCGTGTTCAACTAAATTGAAATATAATATATTTTCCCTTTAGATATCGTAAAAGGGTGTCTATACTATTATCTTTTAATAAGTTTGATATATTGTAATTATAATAATTATCAAGTTTAGTTAAGGCATCTAAAGAAAACCGCTGTAAAATAGTATTAGGAGTATTATTGTAACTAAACTTATTCAAAAATAATGGAATTTATGGGAATAATGGTTGGAACTTATGAAATGTTTGCACATGTGGCCATCTCTGTGCGAAATTACATGGTTGAAATTCTCGATAAATTTCTAAATTCCAGGCTGAGTCACTATTATAATTTTGTAAATGATTAGTATATGTTGTCAAATAGGGTTTGAGAAATATATCCCTTACAAGATTTTGGTTTGTTTCAGTACCAAAATTGGGAGAGGATTGTTTAAGATTGAATTTTTTTCAATAAATATTTTTTCGAGATAAAGGAATTTTTATTCTTTTTTAAATTTTCTTATCTTTAAATTTCATTTAAGGCTCCAGGGGATCATAACAACCAAACGAACATCGCAAGTTATTATTTATATTGTATTTAAACTATATCAAACCGGTAATTGGTATTGTAAACCAAGAATTTATTGTATTGATCCCACCCCTTATTGCTAGTTTTGACGAAGGTAAAATTTATTCTTCCGGGGTTTATGTTTTGGCCGATATTAATCTACCAAGTTTTTTATTAGGTCATGGGCTTGATGTACAAAGGTTGCGAATATGGTCGTAATCACAGGAACTAAGTGATATTGATCTTATATCTCAATGTATTTTTTGCATTTCAAACTTAGATCTTTGTTTAAATTTGACAAAGCCATTGGTCGATGCACATTTTATTTTACAAGGAAGTTATGAAAGGATAAGTTATATCAATAATCTATTAGGAAGTTAACCAACACCAATTATATTAATTGTAAATATATATATAATCATATTTAAATGACATAACACATAATATGTAAATAGAATACAATAAATTACTAATTTAATACATCCCCCTATATTAATTAAGAGACGCCTATATCTCTTCAATCATTCGTTTTGGCGGCCTAGTGTCATCTTGGTGTATCCAACTCTCTCTGATCACTGCCCGTGATCACTCGTTCCGCGTATCTAATACCACATGTTCCCTTAACTAGTCATCATGTTTTCACAGTACACGGGCGTCTCGACTACATAGAGATATAATCCCCTCCTAACTTGAAATACCCTTTCTCTCCAACCCTTGGTGGTTTCGTTCCTCATCCATACATGTCGATCAACGTCAAATTCCCTAACAATAGAATGTGTGTCATGTTCTCGACTTTGTTATTGGATTTATTAATCTCATTTCCCACCCAATCTAGACTAATTATTATTTGACGACCTAATCTTCGCTGGTGACCTACCCGTCGAACTATGTTCTCCGAGCCTATATGCTGCTACTTTTTGAGTCATCGTCTCTTGCAGGTCATTAATTGATTCTCGACTGGCATAATACCTCCCTTTCAAAGTTCGAATGGTTTGTTCCGCCTGCCCATTTGTCTTTGGGTGGTACAGCGTTGAGCGAATGTGGCACAAATGTTTTCTTCACACAATCGATAAAATTCTGTAAAAATAAATTGACGTAATTAATGAACATTCTTGGGGTTAGGTGTGGCCTGGATTGCTTTTACTTTTTCCTCGCTTGGATGTACCCCATTTTGGTTGATCACGATACCTAGAAACGAAACAGAATTCCGTAAAATTTGAAATTTTTAAAATTTGACTTTGAGGCCTGCTTCCTACAGCCTATTGAGTACTATTTTAAAATTAACCAGATGTTAAGTGTCATTTTTCCCGGAGATAATTACATCTTCCAGATACACTTTAATCATCTGGCAATCTTTCAAAACATTATCCATGTAACGCTGGAAAATAGTTGGCGCGCACGACCGGCATTTTCGATATCGAAAATATCCTTTATGTGTTGAGATGACCAAATATTCTTGGGACTCTGGCTCAACGGCCATTTTTAGATACGCTTTCTTAAATCTACCACTGTAAAACGGTTTACCCCCTGAATCTTTAACAGTAAGTCATCTAGATTTGGAATAAAGTGATTTTCATATAAGATGGTGATTTAAACTCACTTGAAATCACCTGACATTTTCCGTTGGGGTTGCCCACGGCACCCTAGTTATAGAGGAATTGATGGGTTGCAAAATATCCGCAGCAACAAGGCGATCCAGTTCGAGTTCAACCGCTTTGTGTAACGGAAAGGTCACTCGACGAGTTGGGAACGATTTTGGAACAATCGAATCTTTTAATTAAAGTGGCACCTCGATATACTTAAAACCCCAGTTTTCTATCAAAAACGGCTTTGAAATATTTAGCTAACAAAGGTCCGTTGAGTCTTCCGTTAGTGACATCCTCAGCCAGCACCAATTGTATTCGACCGGGGTATCGTTGGGCTGGGAGTTGATATTATTTGTCTCCTATTGAATTTGAGAACTTGTTGTATGCTTACCTGTCTCGGTAACTTAAAACCATATACTTAAATCCATGGCAACCCAAACACAGGTAAGTCATTTGACTTTATTATAATAACTGATAATTTACGAATGTTACCCACATGTACACGAACCATGATTTCACCCATTAGATCAGGCATATTCCCCTGATAATGGATTTGTAGAAGATGTTGGTGGTTTGCCAATCTCCCAAATATTCAATCCTATAATGGAAACTTGTACTCGTATCATAGTCAAACGTGACACTAAGTCCATTTATTTTGGCTGTAATCTTTGCCCTTTTAATTAATCCCCTTGTCCAAAGATTATTTATTATCATTTGAGTGAAAGTGTTGCTTCACTGAGTTTGAGTTGCGATATACAGGCTTACTACGGCACCGGTTCATTATGCTAGCCTGCACATTTCATACATTTTTTATCGTAAAACTTGCTAGTTTCATATATTTATTATCTCTTTTCTCACTCTTGAAATTAGGCATTTTATATTTGTCATGTTGTGGCCTGACACTATTCACAAGCTCTTTCTTAAGAGCCATTTCATTCTGAGCTCTTTCCTTTGCCGTAGCCATATCTAGCACAAACTGGAACGTCAGAGTTTTTGTTCACATCCATTGCTAAAGGATATTTAGCCCTAAGTTCAACTTCGAGACCTGGTAGATCTATACCCGCAACCAATTGATCTCTTAACGGAAGTCAACTTCTGACGGCGTAAAACAACACGCTTTCGCAGTTATTTTGATCTTATTGGCGAATTCTCCAATTGGTTCATTCTCATTCCTAATTAACCTTATAAAGTCTAATCGACTACCAAAGATGGTTTTATTCTGCTCAAAAATATGTAGTGAAACACTCCTTATCTTATCAAATTTAGTCGTTTAGAATGGTTTTAGGAAATAAATATTTTTCGAGAATGTCAATGCCTTCAGCGTTAAAACTTACTATGAACAGGTCCTTATTCTCCTGCAGTTTTTTAATCTCATTGTTTAGTCCAAAATTTGAACCAACGTTCAATGACCCCCCCCCCCCCCCCATTTAATTACATTTTAGTGATTTAGTCATTTACATTTTAATCTTTAATCCAATCACAATGCACAATGCATATTTTATATTACAAGGAAGTTATGAAAGGATAAGTGATATCAATAATCTATTACCAACACCGATTATATTAATCGGAAATATAAATACAATCATATCTAAATGACGAATTTAAAACATAAAATGTAAATAGAATATTACAATAAATTATTCCTTTACAACAGTCGATTTAAGAAAAATCTTATCCCATTAAGTTACCATCTCTCTATGTTATTCTAATGACTCCATTAGGTCTTCTATCATCTGGAAACATTTGTATGGGGTTTCTTTTGTGAAAAATATCTTAGTAAAGTTTAAAATCCGTTTTATAAGCAAGTTGCATAGAGAGTCTCTGAGCTCGCCCATGTTTCTGATATATTGAACAATGTCTATACGAATAGGCTTGTTTGTGTCATCTTGCTGCTTTATGTGACACGATTGAATATTTAAATAATTGCTAGCGTATAGCTGAATTTCTGGTCATTGAGTTCCAAGCCAAGTTTTTTAGATGGAAATACCTCTAAATATTAATCTCATGGATCCTTATTCCAAACAATGATTGACAGATGCAGATTAGTGTAAAAATAATAAACGGTACTTGCCATCATGACTGACAGTTTCTGCTTTATTAAATTGGGAAGAAAAGTGCCAGACGAATTCATGTTTATCTAGCAAATGATCTAAAAATATTTTAGGGATGTTTTTTTTTATTAAGAAATAAGCCTTATTTGATGGAAAGAAATATTCAGAAAGTGGGGGCTAAATAAAATTTTATGAAAAGATGTCTGATAGTCCTTCACCATCCTGCTATATTTATTAAACAATGATTATTTTGCCTGTCCGATAGGGTGTTTTTATTTAAATTTAGACCGATTAAATTATCTTATAACGTGGAAGAAAAAGAAAAGTTAGAATCCACTATAATAACTGAACAAATAAGGTTATGAGATTAAATAATAATGATAGACATGATTTTAAAAAATTTATTATGGATGTTATATTTTCTATGTTACATTCTATACATATTTTAAATTTATGGGCAGCATTCTATATTCATTCTATCTATACATATTTTAAATTTATGGACAGCGATTTCTTTTATATTCTATTTTATTTATTTAGATAAAATTAATTATGGATAAATTTGTTTTACATAAAAAAAACAATTTATTTTATTTTTCAATTTTTGGGAGAATATAACTTAACAAATGAAAGAACTACTAATTCATTCTTTATTGATGTCTATGGATTCAAATATTCTTAACTCACTCTTTATAATGAATGTGGTTATTCAAGATTCAAAAACAGATAAGATTTATATTTCTTTAAAATAATCATTACATAATCTCACTATTACAATATCGGAAATAATAATTTGCACTCATTTTTGTTAAATTACAACTGGTTAAAAGTTTGTCGATATCCTTGAGAAAAAAATACCCTTCATAAAATTCACGTTCGCTCATTTTGGGCAGGTCTGTGACCAACGTGCTAGATAGATAAGATAAGAAAATAAAATTGGTAAAAACCTATAAAATAAAAATGAATCTATTCTCAGTTTAGTTAAGTCAATCCTGTTTTATCTCCTTACAATCCCCTATTTTCCTCACAATTCTAGGATTTCCTCCCCAATGTCTATTCAAAAATTTTTTGAGGTGTTATTTTGCAATTTACTTTTCGATATTTATGATTCAAAATATTTATCTTATGAGCCTATAGTTATAAATACCTGGCCATTTTATAATTGCACAAATAAAGGTATAATATTTTTTTGAAAAATTAACAATTTATATAAGCTTGGGAGATTATAGAAAATAATGGAAGTGCATTGGATGCTGTAGAAGCTGGATGTAATATTTGTGAACAAGGACAATGTAGTCGTTCAGTTGGTTATGGGGGTCATATTGATGAAAATGGTGAGACAACATTGGATGCAATGATAATGGATGGGTAAATATTGCTTTTAGTATTTATATAAATAATTTGCCATTAATTTATTTTTTCTTAAACAGAGAATCCCAGGAAATGGGAGCAGTGGGCTCTTTATATAAAATAAAAAATGCAATATCAGTAGCCCGGAAGATAATGGACTATACACAACATTCTTTCTTGGTAGGAGAAGCAGGTAAAATATTAAACAAGACTTGTTGATTTTCTAAAATTTAATTAGAATTGATTTGTAAAATTAAAATTCACTTATTTCAAATAAAATAAATTTTAAATAATAATAATTGTATAAGGCCATTATTACATGTTATATTTAAATAAATAGGTCATTTATGAAAGATATCAACAATAAATTCCTACTTTTCCTTAATTAAGATATGTATTAAACATTGATATTAATATTATATATATTATATTCATGGATCATTAGAATGTTTCAGTGGTGTGACTTATTGTGTCTTGCTAAATTAATGGTCAATAGTTTGAATTTAGTAAATAACCAAATTTTAATATAAATTACATTATTTTAATAAAGTAACAGATTTTTATTAAAAATGGTCTAATATTATTTTAAATATAGGGCTAGATTTTATTGGCTTAAACAATATTCAGAACTGTGCCAATATTTATGATATTTTTAAAAACTAATTTAATTCAATATTTATATTGTTTTTAGTTATTTTATGATTGTATATATAATTATATATAAGGATTTTATGTTCAATTTCATAATAATAAATTAATAAAAGGAACCAAAATTCAATTTATTTGTAATGTTTAAAAAAATTGTATTATTTTTAAAAGCTAGAAGAGCTAAAAAAAATTTAATATAATTTTTGATAAATTATCTGCAATAAGAAAAGGATTTAAACATATATAAGTAACATTCGGCTATTGTTGTTAAGCTTGAAGCCTAATTTGAAAAATGGCTAACTTATGATTTTGGCCAAATGTAAATTACTCATTGATATTTTTCCCATAGATGGATTTGGACCTAATGGAAAAATTTGTGGCTTAGGATAGATAAAATCTTGATTTATTTATTTTTAAAAATTGGCTTTTTTAAATAATTTACAACCTTACAAATAGTATATTTCAAAATAAAAAACATAATACACTTTATCATTACTGAAGGTTAGTTGTTTTTTTTTCTCTAAAGAAAGTAATGTTAAAAATACCAATTTGGGTTGATTTTTAAAAAAGTCCCAATTAATATTTTAGCCAAAATAATATTATGCTAGCCTCTAAATTTTCCAAATAGATGTTCAAACCTTACATCCATTTAGGAGCAAAATCTCCAGGCTTACATAATATTATTTTGGTTATAATCTTAATTGAACTGTTTTTTTTAAATCTAAAATAGCAATAGAAAGTATTGATATTTTTTATGATATTGATTTAAAAATAGTAAATCAAAATCAATATAAATATCAGATCGATATCAGTTATCAGATCGGGTTTATAGTAATATTGGGAAATATTGAATAGGGTTGGATTGGCGAAAAATTTTTGGACCAATAGTCAAAATATTTTCCCTATATTTTATAGTGTAGGTTAATATTGATATTGGTTTTAATTATTATAAAAAACTCTTGATTATGTTTAAAATAAACATTATCATTTTCAAAAAGGGGTGCAAATTGAATGATGCCCTTGTTCATTAAAAGTTTTGATGGGAAAATATATCTATTCTTTCTGCACAAGCCATGGTCATTCCATATCAAATCGATCAAAAAGTGCCATTTTTGCCGACCCCTTTTAAAATTATTAAAGATTTCTGGAATTATTTAGATAGGTAATAAAAAATAAGAAAGCCGTTTATTTTAACTTGCTAGCATAACCTGGTTCCCGAGAACAGAGCCTTAAAGATGCGAAAAATACATGTAAAATTTATAAATTGTTTGTATAAAGCTCTTTTTTTTGAGGTATGAATTATATCAATATGAATTTAAATGAAGGAGAATATATTGTTTACGCAGATTTAGCTGAAAATTGTGCCTTTGTGGTTCTAGATGTAAGGATTTTGGAATGAAGCGTAAATTACCATTTTCCTTTTTTGATTCATTACAAGTCACTTAATTTATATAATTTAAGTTAGGAAATGATATCGGAATCTCTTATTCATAATACAATTGCCATTCATTTATTCCCGAAATATCTAGCCCGCTACTTGACAGAAATTTAAAGCCACCCAAAAAATTCTTATACTCAGATGGAGCAGCATCACAATATAAGAATCGTAAAAATTTAATCAATCATTACCAACATAAAGTTGATTCGCAATAAGAGCTGAGTGGCATTTATGGGCCACATCTTATGACAAGCTGTCTTTTGATGGAGTAAGTACAATCAAACGTTTGGCGGCCAGGGCTAGCTTACAAAGATCTGTTTCAGAAGAAATAACTTGTCCTAAAGTGTTTTTTTGCATATTCTAAGAAAAATATTATAGGCATAAGATTTCTAATTTATTAATATACATTATAATTTTTTTTATTAAGGAATAGACTTATATTATTGAAGACGAGTATGAGAATGCAAACAATTTTAGAAGAAAGATTCAATAAAGCGGGTACCACACCAGGAACGCAAAAATTTCATATTTTTATCCAATTTCTCAGGATAAAATTGAAGGTAAATTTTATTCAAATTAAGCAGAATCACAAATATTATATATAAATATCTCTCGAATATTAATTGGAATTTAATATATGAAAAATATATGGATATATAACATGTCGTCGGTCTAGCACTTGCGCAGGAAAATGTTATTGAATTTTGACGATAACTTTGGCCAAAAATTAATATTTTTTAATCTAGTTTTTATTTTTATATATATGGGGAATTAAATAAGTTATTATCCACTTCTAACTCAAAAATTTTGAAAATGTCGTGGAGCACTCCAATTTTAGACCGACGATGTATCTATGGCAATCAATGGTTATAATTAATATGAATAATAAAAAAATTAAACGAAAGATATTTATTATTGGAATTTTGATACATTATGAAGATATCTAAAGGGCATTCGCTCCCACTGTCCCTCAGTTTAATTCTCGCGTTTAATAGAATTAAAAATTATAAAAAAATATCCTTTTTATAAGCTACTAATTTATAACTTTGCCTTAGTTTTGTTAAAAAAACGGCTAACTATATTTCATGCAGAGATATATTACGGAATATTTTGCTCATAGAATGAACATAGGTCCTAGGCATATATTATCGAAATCCAGAGGGTTAGGCAATATTTTTCTAGCTAAAATATTGAGTTAGCCGATGAGCCGTTTAACAACACTACTTTGCCTATTTTATAACAAAATTTTTTCCTTCTTGGTAAAAATGCATATATTTTGAAAGAATAGATAGCATCGCCAAAGTTATCGCATCTTATATATATATATATTTATTAAAAGATGTCTAATTAAAATGCAAAAATTTTTTTTTTCGAAAACCCTTAAAAACACGGGTAACGCAACATACGACCTCAAATTGGCGCCTAATTTTTTTTTCCTCTTATGATAGACCATAAAGATTTTATTTTTAAACTAAAATATGATATTATAATATAAATTTTAGTAAATAGATTTTTCATTTTTTATTTACTTATCTAAATAATTCCAGAAATTTAAAAAATAGTCGGCCGAATCATGATTGATTTGTCGTGGAATAATACTTTTTAAACATATTTTTTACTTAAATTGAAAAGTATTTTATTATGCTAATGATATCTATTTATTAAATTTTATTTTATATCTTGGAATAAAATATTTATTAATTCTACGATAGCTACAAAGTTTGCTCTTCAAATGGGATTCGAAGAAGAAAATTTGACAACCAATTATTCGATAAAGGAATTCAAAAATTGGCTCGATAATAAGTGCCAACCTAATTTTAGAAAGGTAATATTTGCATTTAACAGGTTTTTAAAAATTATCGTATTGGTATATATGTTAGCGTCAATGTGAATTTTCGGCAATGTGATGTAGTGGTAGGCAATGTAAATGTGAGATTTCGGCAATGTGTTCTATTTTACAAATTTATTATTTATTCAAGATTAATTTATTATTTATATAAGATTAATTTATTATTTATTTAATATTAATTTATTATTTATTTAATATTAATTTATTATTTATTTAATATTAATTTATTTTTTGATATAATATTTTAATTTGTTATATTATCTTTTTAAATATATTTTTTGATTGATATATTTTTTTAATATATTATAATTTGTTATATATTTTTTTACATATTTTTTTAATATAATTATTTTTTTATATATTTTTTTTGATTGATATTTTTTTTTAATATAATTTTTTTTAAATATTTTTTTTTTAATATAATTTTTATATATTTATTTTTTACGTAGATTTTTTTTGATAGATAATTTTTTTTTGTTTTTTGGTTTATATTATTTTTTAAATAAAACTTTAGAGGTAATATATTTTAATTTGTTATATTATTTTTTTAAATATATTTTTTTTGATATTTTTTTTTAAGTATATTGAAATAATATATTATAATTTGTTATATTATTTTTTACATATTTTTTTTTGATTGATATATTTATTTTTTACGTAGATTTTTTTTGATAGCTAATATTTTTTGGTTTATATTATTTTTTAAATAAAACTTTAGAGGTAATATATTTTAATTTGTTATATTATTTTTTTTTTGATTGATATTTTTTTTAAAATAATTTTTAGATAATATTTTAATTTGTTATATTATTTTTTTATATATTTTTTGATTGATATTTTTATTATAATGGTTTTTTATGTATTTATTTTTCCCTTAAATTTTTTCTTGATATATTTTTTGATAGCTAAATTTTTTTTTATGATTGATTTTTTTTTAAAATAATTTTAGATAATATATTTTAATTTGTTATATTATTTTTTTATATATTTTTTGATTGATATTTTTTAATATAATGGTTTTTTATTTATTTTTTTCACGTAAATTTTTTCTTGATATATTTTTTGATATCTAAATTTTTTTTTATTTTTTATGTTATATTATTTTTTTAAATATATTTTTTGATTGATATTTTTTTTAAAATAATTTTTAGATAATATATTTTAATTTGTTATATTATTTTTTTATATATTTTTTGATTGATATTTTTTAATATAATGGTTTTTTATGTATTTATTTTTCACGTAAGATTTTTCTTGATATATTTTTTGATAGCTAAATTTTTTTTTATTTGTGTTATTATTATTTATTTAAATATATTTTTTGATTGATATTTTTTTAAAAATAATTTTTAGATAATATATTTTAATTTGTTATATTATTTTTTTATATATTTTTTGACTGATATTTTTTATTATAATGGTTTTTTATGTATTTATTTTTCACGTAAATTTTATCTTGATATATTTTTTGATAGCTAAATTTTTTTTTATTTTTTGTGTTATATTATTTTTTGATTGATATTTTTTTTAAAATATATTTTAGATAATATATTTTAATTTGTTATATTATTTTTTTATATATGGTTTTTTATGTATTTATTTTTCACGTAAATTTTATCTTGATATATTTTTTGATAGCTAAATTTTTTTTTATTTTTTGTGTTATATTATTTTTTTAAATATATTTTTTGATTGATATTTTTTTTTAAATAATTTTTAGATAATATATTTTAATTTGTTATATTATTTTTTTATATATTTTTTGACTGATATTTTTTATTATAATGGTTTTTTATGTATTTATTTTTCACGTAAATTTTCTTGATATATTTTTTGATAGCTAAATTTTTTTTTATTTTTTGTGTTATATTATTTTTTTAAATATATTTTTTGATTGATATTTTTTAAATAATTTTTAGATAATATATTTTAATTTGTTATATTATTTTTTTATATATTTTTTGACTGATATCTTTTATTATAATGGTTTTTTATGTATTTATTTTTCACGTAAATTTTCTTGATATATTTTTTGATAGCTAAATTTTTTTTTATTTTTTGTGTTATATTATTTTTTTAAATATATTTTGATTGATATTTTTTTTTAAATAATATATTTTAATTTGTTATATTATTTTTTTATATATTTTTTGATTGATATTTTTTTTTAAATATTTTTTAGATTATATTTTAATTTGTTATATTATTTATATTATTTTATGAAATATATTTTTTGATTGATATATTTTTTTAATATAATGATTTTTATGTATTTATTTTTTATGTATTTATTTTTCACGTAAATTTTTTCTCGATATATTTTTTGATAGCTAAATTTTTTTTTATTTGTGTTATTATTATTTATTTAAATATATTTTTTGATTGATATTTTTTTTAGAGATAATATATTTTAATTTGTCATAATTTTTTTAAATATATTTTTTGATTGATATTTTTTTAAAATGATTTTTATATAATTTATTTTTAACGTAATTTTTTCTATTTTATATCTTTTGATTCCAATTTTATAGGTAAAAGTGACAAAAGGTATAATCGTAATTTTTGAACTTTTTTAAGTTTTTTAATGTAATTTTCAGTGCAGATGTATTATAGAAAAGTGACAATTGTCATAATCGTTATTTTTGAACATTTTTTAGTTTTTTTAAAGTAAATAGGTAAAAATATGTTTAGTAAACGTGTTAAATTAAAATTTCAGTAAAGATGTACTATAAAAAATGACAATTGTCATAATCGTTATTTTTTAATTTTTTTAAAGTAAATAGGTAAAATTATGTTTTGTAAACATGTTAAATTAATATTTCAGTGAAGATGTACTATGGAAAAGTGACAATTGTCATAATCGTTATTTTTGAAATTTTTTGATTTTTTTTAAAGTAAATAGTTAAAATTATGTTTTGTAAAAATGTTAAATTAATATTTCAGTGAAGATGTACATGGAAAAGTGACAATTGTCATAATCGTTATTTTTGAACATTTTTTAATTTTTTTAAAGTAAATAGGTAAAAATATGTTTAGTAAACGTGTTAAATTAATATTTCAGTGTAGATGTACTATGAAAAAGTGACAATTGTCATAATCGTTATTTTTGAACATTTTTTAGTTTTTTTAAAGTAAATAGGTAAAAATATGTTTAGTAAACGTGTTAAATTAAAATTTCAGTTTAGATATGTTTTATATTATATAGACACTAACAGGAATATTAACATTAAAATTCTTAAATTCGCTATTATTTATATATTGAAAATTAAAGATGAATTATTTTCCTGTAAATCGTCAATGCCTTGATTTGATTAATCTCGAGATTTCAGCATGAATACATTAATGACCTCAAATGATAAAAAATTTTACTATTACGATTACACCTTAATCTTCATAGCAGCCGGAAATGTTTTGTAACATAATTTATAATAGTAGACCTATGTATAAATAAAATATTTTTAGGATTAATCTGTTTTTTCTAAAATATTAACTGCGAAATATTTAAATATAGAATCCTGCATCGGTTATTTGTATATCAACTAACTATAATATCTTTGACTTATTTATTTCAATTCTGTGAGTAAATATATTTTAAATATTTATTCACTTTAGTGAACTATCTAAAATTACAAGTTAGAGCTATTGAGATGTATATCTATCACTAAATACATTTTCATGAATATATTTATAAACGAAATAAATTTTAGCAATTAACTATGTTGCAATATAGCGTACATTAAATACTATTAGCCCTTATATTTATTACTAAGATTATGCGTCAAACATTATAAGTTCATCTAAGATTTTTTGAGAAATAAAGGTTTTTGAGTAACTTTTTTTATACTATATTTTATTAATAAATGCTAGGCTCTCTGTTTGAAGGCCTTTGGCCAGTTATTGTTTTAAATTTTCTTTAGGTTTATACTCTTTTTTTAAAAAAAAATTTCTCACGAATTTTATAAGGTCGTTATTTTTAATATTTTTGTGACATAGTGGTTTATTCTTAATTATTTTTAAATAATATTTACCAAATCAGACATATTTGGTAAAATGGGTGGGAATTTTTTACTCCCCCCCCCTCCCCCCAACTTAATATTATGTTAAAATACATTTTTACACCATATTATTAATGGATATCTGGTAGCAAGCCTTCCCTATAAGATTATATCTTCATAATAGAAAAAACAATATTTACAATACACATTTTTTATTACTATATAATTCTATATAAATATAAATAAATAATTTATTTTGACATTATTTTTTGTATGACAATGTGAATTGCTGGACACATTAGATGCCTTGCATTTTTGCATCTATTGGTCCTACAATTTTGTTTGCAATGGCAATGTTTAAAACCTTGCCCAGAGCCTATTGAAGACATGCCAACCATTGTTCTAAAGGTATGACAACTTGGTGGCTTATCCTTAACGTTAATAAAGTTTTTTTTGCAAGGTCAAATTGTGACCTAGCATAATGACCAGATAAATGGCCACGACTTGTTCCTAATTTGTAAAATCCATCTGTGGATTTATCTGTAATTACTCCCAATAGCATTTTATGATCCAGTCTTCTCTGATCAACTGGTGGAATTGGCAATAATACGGAATCACCAATTTCTCCAGGTTTTAGTTTTTTGTCGCTACCTCTTTTCATCTTTGTAGCTTGTACATAAACCCTCTTTCGAAATTTTCCTAATTTTCTTGATCGCATTAATATGTTTTCGAATGGTATCGTCTTCGGTAGCTATAAAATATTTGAATAGTTTTACAAGATAAAAGCATCACTTTATACTAGGTATAAAAATATGATTATACAAAAATTAGACGAAAATTGAATCGTAATTGTAGGATTTTAAAAAAATACATTTTTTTTCAAAGAGAAAAATTTTAAATAATTTCTAATCACTTAAAATAATTTGTCATTAAGATTTATATTATAATTTTAAAAAATATTTCTAATAAAAATATATACCT